GATGGTATAGTTGGCGAGGTTATTCACCAAAAACCGAACATCTACCTACCTTGGGGTGGGGCGCTTGACTTGACATATATAGCCTTGGTTTGACCTGACCAGTGACCTGAGATGTCATCGGTTGACATGAAACCTTAGAATACCATAGCCCGCGCGGGGCTGGGGGGGTAAATTTTACCCCCTCCCCCTCGCGAATATTTGCAATATCCCAAAAACGGCGGCGCGCAGCGCCGCCAAACTTTCAGTACCTTTTTTTACATCAATTTGACACGTTCCCTGAAAATTTGAGCGAAATCCGTCGGAAATTTTTTGAGAAATTGACGTTTTAGTGACGTCATGTTCGCCATTTTCGCCTCAAAAACGGCAAAATTTCAAACGCCGCTAACATCTTCATTTTTAAAAGAATCAAGACGTAACAAAAAAGGTTATACGTAATTCTACTTTGTCTATCAAATGGCTATCTCGGTTTTTTGAAAATTTTTGATTTTGGCCCAATTTTTTCAAAAAACTGCCTTTTTTAGGAAAATAATTATAAAATCCAAAATTTTGGGTGTATCGAAAAAAACGGAACACATGTCAGAGAAGTGGTCCATGTGCACCTACATACCAATTTTTAGAACAATCGGTTCAAAAATGTGGGAGTTATTCAAAATTTTATGACGTCACGACACACAAAAATTTTGCAAAATGATTTTTTGGGAAGTTCTAGACCTCGTACGGAACCAAAAATAGCACCATTCGATTTGCCGTGAAAAACTGCATCAGATAGACACCTTTTTAGGCCTTAACAACCAACTTCAAAATTTGACCTCACTTGACCTGACCTTGACCTGACCTCGACCTGAAATTCATCCAGAGATGGTCCATATCACTTATTGAGTGTGCCTATTGAATTCTATGAGTAAAATGACCCATAAAACATGTGTCGCACATGCCCTTTTCTATATTTTGTTTTTTGGTGACCTGACCTGACCTGACCTGACCTTGACCTTGACCTCTGAATGATATTATATGCAACGAATATTGTCTTGGTAGCCTAAGAACACGTTTTGGGCAATCAGTCTCAGTCCATGACTCCATTCTTCGGCAACTACGGTGCAAGGCCGATACTGTAGAAACTTGCAATTTGTACCCTTGACCTGACCTTGACCTTGACCTCAAACTTTAAATTAAGTACATGTTTTTAGTTGTTCGTGATGAGAGCTTTCGATTGGCGTTTGAATTTTCCAAATCGGACCATTAGTTCGGGAGATAACAGGGGGGTAAAATTTACCCCCCCCCCAGCCCCGCGCGTTCGGCTGGAGACCCCAGCCCCGCGCGGGATAGGATATTTATTTATTTATTTATTTCACGTCGCGACAAACCCATCCATTCGAGAACGGCTATTCCGGGCGTCATGTCATTTGGAAGATGTGATGGATAAAACATTCGCTCTTAGCACACGCATACAAAACACACTCACGGGTCCTCATCGCCATACTGCTCTCGGAGTAGCAGTGCTCGGTACTGGGCTTTGAACTGCCGCGACCCCAGGCCTCGCACGGCTGGTGGCAGTGAGTTGTATGTTGTCGCGGCTGAATAAAGAAACCGTCGGCGGCCTGACTCTGTGCGGATCGCTGGGGTCTCGAAAAAGTCAGCTTGGCGGGTCTCCCTACCATGAACACTGCGGCGGGTAACAATGCCTTCACGCAGCGACTCAGGCTGTCCCGTAGCTAGCATTCTCTTGAGCAGAGTCACCGAATGAAACCGCCACAAGTTCTCAGCAGAGAGCAACTTCAGGGTCTTCATGACATCGCTGACATGGTCATACCTACGTCGGCCAGACACCACCCGAGCACCGAAGTTCAGTAGCTTCTGAACTCTGGACAGCTGGGTCACACCACAGCAGCCATAGACACTGATACAATACCGGACAATAGACACAGCCAGAGCCTGCACCAGTATTGTCAGTGTGTCCCTGGGCAGCGAGTGTCTACTGTGGCTTAAACCGCTCAGGATACCAGTGCCACGCCGTACGACATCGGTCACGTGATCTGAGAAAGACAGACTCTGATCAAACGTGACCCCCAAGTTTCGGACAGTGAGGGATCCCGTAACCTTAGCACCCATAAATTCAACTTCTATTGGCGGTAACTGACGGAGATTTTGCTTGGTACCCAATGTTATTAGTTGCGTTTTGTTAGCGTTCACTTTTAAACCGTTTTTCTGAAACCAGACTGAAAGAGCCGCTAAATCCTGTTCTAGACTCTGAACTATCGCTGCTGCATCACGAGGGCTTCCCATCACCGCCAACTGTGTGTCGTCCGCATACTGTACCAGACACCTGTCATGATTAGCGCAGTCGGGAAGGTACAGAGACATGTCAGTCGCATATATGTTGAAAAGAAGCGGCCCGAGGGCCGATCCCTGATAGGTACCAATAGGATTCAGAATTGATCGCGAGAGCACACTGCGGCCGTTCTGCGAGCGGATCAGCACTTGCTGGTAATGATCAGATAGGTAGCTCAGATAGATACCAGTCGCTGCCCTCGTAACGGTGCACAGGCTCGTTTTTCCGCAAGGCCGAAGCTGGAGGCCGATATAGTGTGGACTGTGGTTCACCCGAAAACATACTCCAATTCCTCGGTTAGCCGGGCCAGGGCGTATGCAGAAAACCGATAGGTCGGCTTCTGTGCACCTGCTCATGACCCTTGGGTTGGCACTTGTACACCAAGAGTTATTCGGGGACCCACCTAGGCGGCGGAACGCCGAACGGGGGGGGGGGAGGAGCACCGAGGCATCGTGCCCCCCTTTGATTTTGGCATTTTAACACTGCCTTATGGGCGTTTCATGGAAAGAACGGGACCAAAAGTCGGCAGTGCCCCCTTTAATTGAAGGTGTTTCGCCGCCACTGCAGGGACCTATGTTTTTTATTGCCCGTTCAACGTTCTCTGTTCATCCAGCTTATCCACACAAGCATCCACAGCCCACGGGTCTTTTCCTTTGGGTGAGACTAAATGCTTACTTCGAAATCTAGCTGCGTTGCGGCATTGGCGGTTATGTGCGGCGTGTATGCCGCATGAACAATAAGCGGCGACCACTAAATTAAAGACTCAAGCGCTCCGACCTGTTTTCAATGGATAACACTGCATACCAAAAATGTCCATCGCTTTCGTCATAGGATATTTAGATTTAAATAACTAACTTATCTACACCATCGTTTTGAACCAAATTAATACTTTCAACTTGACCCTCGCCCGTATTGGTGTTTTTCCAGCCGCGAACGTATAAGGTATAACCCCTTGCCGTTTCGCTCCTGATCAAGCTAGAGCTTCGCGGAAAAAACGAGCGTATTGCCCGTGACGAGAGGAAGCCGATGATACCCAATTTTAAGGTCCTAGGTCATCGGTTGACCTTCCATGTCAGGTCAATGACCCAAAAGGCGGGAAAATCAGGACCTGTTAGAGCGTCGTAGTGTGGCTGCTATGGGGTTTTTCGGGGTGCTGATCACGAATATCATGCTAGTTTCGATCACAGATGATGTCTTCATTCATTTAGGCCAGGTCGGGTCAGGTCAGGTCAGGTCAACCAGTAGAGGTCCTGCCGGGTATTTGTAGTAGGTGTCAACCGCCTCTGACAGCCTTGTAACATGTTACGAAGGCACCAAAACTACTTTGTAAACGTTCATGTGGTTGCTAAATTCGAATTCAGCTCGAAAAACTGGCCTAGAAACATGTCAAACTCGAAAAAGTGAACCGAGGTCACCAAAGGTCAATGACCTGACCTGACCTTCAGGTGACCTTGACACCCACCCTAATGCATGGGGGCAAGATCATATCACATGTTTGAACGCTTGAAACCACGAAAAGACTGCAAACGCGCTGCTAATGCGAGCCGACATATACGCTGAATCGCGGTTCCGGCCAAACATGGTCTCGAAAAGTAGGTCACAGGTCAAAGGTTATTTGCGTCAGGGTCATGAAATTTTCAGGGTAGGTGTAAAATTGATCAACGCGAGGGTACTAAAAGTTACGTCGTGATCGGCCGCTTTTTACGCGAGTTATTTGCGAAAAACCGAGGGGAGTCCGTTCGACCCCCCCCCCCCCCCTAAAGGGCGAGGGTTAACTCACAGTCCGAACTCCGAACAAGTTCGGTCTTGTTCGTGAATTTGTCGGAGCATCACCTAAATCTAGTAGAGATGATGGAGGGAAACTAGGCTTTTAAGGAGGGAAGGGAGTCGGTGACGGTCAGGGGCACTACAAGCAGAGCAGTCATAAGCTGGTGACAGGGCTGACATACCATGTTTTGATAGCATGACTGAAACATACTTTTTGGGTAGCCAGGAAATCGCATGCGAGAGCCTATTGAAATTCTTACATCGGCCTTTATATGATGCACCAGTCGTATACAGGTGCGGGATTTGGCATACGATTTCCAGACAATCGAAAGACTGTTTGGAGCCAACGAAGGAAGGGATGAGTGAGTACTAAGTTGAAAGCATTAATTTGGTTCAAAATGATGATGCAGATAACTTAGTTATTTAAATCTAAATATCTTATGACGAGAGCGATTGGCATTTTTGGTATGCAGTGTCATTCATTGAAAACAGGTTGGAGCGTTTAAGTCTTTAATTTAGTGGTCGCCGCTTACTAATCATGCGGCATACACGCCGCACATAACCGCCAATGCCGCAACACAGCTTAGATTTCGAAGTAAGCATTTAGTCTCACCCTTTTCCTTTCCGCGTCCTCTAATTTGGCAGCAATTTGGCAGCACATAAATCTTTAATACTGGCGCAGATGAGTTGAATATGAAGGAAATGATTGTGTTCTATTATGGCTGTTTTATCCTACTTTTTCGCAATACTGCCTTGATCAACTAATAAGAATAATGGTTTCTGCATAAGTACGAACTAATTGCTCTTACAGAACATGCAAATTATATTTGTTTTTTTGCTCTTTTGATGCCTCGCCTTTTTTGGGACGACGGTGAAAACAGGGCGCCTGGGGCGAATTGATCAAGGTTCGTTAAATTTACACGTGATGTTTGGGATATAGAAGGCCCATAGAGCGGGAGAAGTTCCAAATGTCACGTGACTAATATGCCCTCCGGTGCCCTGTTTTCACCGGCGTCCCTTTTTTGCAAACGAGGCAATTTTGTCATTGCTATTTTTACTCCGGATTTGATTGAAAGTACGTGCTTATATTATTTTCTATCATTTCAGTTTTTTAGCTGTACCCTTGTCACCAAATGTTGGTGTGCTGTGCAGCAAAGACATCACTTTCAATTGTAATTGTTTGTCAACTTTGTCTCACTCTCAGCCACTTGATATGAATTAGAAGTCGTTTTAATGCTGTTTTATTTGCCAGTTGCATTGTAAGATTGTTCACTTCTTAAGAATTCATCCCCATTGTAATGATAAAAAATATACCAGTGGTATGTTTGGAGAGCATGGAATATTCACTGTCCCCGGGAATATTCCCCGTGCAGCGTTCACAGGCGTCTCTCTTAACGGCCAATCTCTGGGAATATTCTGCGCGCATGGCATATTTCACGGATTCCATGTGGAATGTGTCTCTGCGAGCGCATCACTTGCATGATACATCTGTTCTGCACAATTCAAAACTGAAACAGATATTCTGTGATTTTTTTCTGAATTTTCCTAGGAGATTATGTCAATGAATCTTAAATCCTGTGACGATTGTCCCTGAGCTGGCTATGATCCTTAAGTACCTAATAAGTTTGTATAAAATGCAATAAGATGGGGCAGACAGGTGAAAAGGCTGCTTTCTTGGAATCAACAGAATTGAATTGCAGGTTTTTAATTCATGTGTATGATTTACAATGATATTCAACTTTTGTACTGTCATCATGTACCTAGTCAAAAGTTCCAACTTCAGAAAGGTAAACAATTAAATGAAAGGATGATTTCAGGAGAAACAAAGCTGAGAAAGATTTCAGAAGAATGTGTTGACACTATCTGACAGCTAAATGACAGCTAAATTTAAACTAAATGACTCTTTTCTTGAAGCAATGAGGCTTTGGCTTCTGGTGATTCATCAGACTGAATTAACTAGCAGCTTTCTTGCTGCAATCATGGCAGCAAAAATGCTTCCTGCACTTTGTTCCAAATCAAGTACCAATTCAAGTGCAAATGTTGTATTCCAAAACTATAACCTATTATTACATAATACATATGCATTATCATTTACTATCAACTGTCTGATTGGCATTCCGACTGTCATTTAATTTGCCATATTTGATATGTGCTAATGACTCAAGACACATTGACTACCTTATTGCTGAATTGTATAATTGTCAACAATTATATTCTGTCTTCCTGAAATTCTATCACTTTCACTGAGTATTGCCTCCTATCACTTTCATTGAGTGTTGGCTCCTATTTCAGAATCACAGATAGCAGCTAATAAGCAATTTCACAGCACTGAGTTCATCTTGCGGCTGATTCTACCTGATGTAGATCCCATCACTCTCAGTCCCTAGCCATGCCGGTCTGGGGGCTCAGCGGCTCTGACGTGTTCTCGGAGCTGCGTGGGGTCGCAGTCGAGCTGTGCCTGCTGGCCGGTGACGCTCTGCTCTGCACCGGTCTGGCGGCCGCAGCGCGCAATGTGGGCGCCGCCGTGACGCGCGTGCGTGACGCCCCCGGCTTCGAGGCCGGCCCCAGTCTGGTGGAGCGTGTGACGGCCGCCGGGGGACGGATGGACTTTGTGGCCGTCCGCGGAGAGGTGCGTGCACTGGGCGAACCGATCCGCGCGCACGCCGACCCGTCGGTGCGCGGGGTGATGCAGCGGCTCTCACTGCGCGAGCACACCTGGGAGAACCACTCGGGCTTCTGGTCGGAGCGGCGGCGCACGGTGCGCGAGGCACTGAACACCGTGCCGTTCGCGCTGAGCGGTGCCGGTCTGGCGGTGGTCGTTCAGGACGCCGACTCGCTCTCGGCCGACCTGTTCACCGTCAAAGACGAGTTCGTGCCCACGGAGCTGTCGCTGGCGCAGAGTGTGTGGCAGTGGCTGCTGGGCTCGCGCCAGCAGGGTCTGCGAGATGTCGAGGAGATGCTGCTCGAGGGCACCCGTGTCACTGGCTACGGCGAGCTGACCCTGATGGAGCGCGGTTTGGAGCTGAGGCCGCCGTCCGGCGAGCTGCCCTTCATCCTGACCACGCGCTCCGAGACGGCCCTGCTGCGTGAGCTGGAGGCGCAGAGGAGCGTGGCCCGCGGCCTGCTGGCGGTGTTTGTGCTCGGCGGTCTGTGCGGCGCCGCCTGGACCGGCCGACGGCTCTGGCGCGGCCTCGAGGAGCGGCGCAGGCGCCGCCGGCTCGCTGACGAGTACGAGGCGATCCGCACCGAGCGGCGGCGTCGGGAGCGCGCCGGGGACACGGTGGAGGAGGCGCTGCAGTGCGTGGTGTGTCTGACCAATCCGCGCGAGGTGGTGGTGTCGCCGTGCCAGCACGTGTGTCTGTGTGTGGACTGCGAGGAGCAGCTGCAGCAGCGCTCTTGTCCCGTCTGCCGGCGGAAGGTGACCGGCGTGCTGCCCGTATACCTGGCGTGAATCAGAACTGGGTGTGTGAGCCGCACACAGTGCGGTGTATGGGTCTGATTTCTAGGCTTAATGTCTAGGTGTGGATCTTTTGTCTAGGCTTGCCTTTGTCCAGATATGATGTTTTTGGTTGTTTTGTAACAACTCTGAACTAACATTTTGAAAGCATTTTGTGGAGTTCCTATCACGTGACTCGCTAGTCATCAGAGCTAAATCTTGCTGAGGCTATCTCGTCATTAAATACTGGCTCAGAAATTCCACTTATCACAGCCTTGGCCGTACGGTTCGTTTGATATCAGATGATATATGTGCTGTAAGACAGCCCGTCTTCCTGTGAGAGATCCTGGTCTGGTGTGGGACTTTTTGAGTAGTCTTCCGTGGTAGGCAGCCCAGGAGCTTATAGCGTGACCTCACCTGACCTGCTGCTTTATCTAGCTGATAGCAGTCCTAGCGTACTGCTGGTACACACCGTAGTCGTGCGCTCGGTGGGTGAGATTCGTCGATGGTATGTTTCTGATGGATATTTCGAAGTGCCTTAGCTTAGTATTGGCTTGGATATCCGCACTGTGTTTGCTTGCTTGGAAAAGCTTTGGCTAGTAATACGTGCTGTGATTATATGGGCAATGTGTTACCGACAGTGTTGAGGAGAGAAGAGTGTTGATTCTTGTAGTTACTGTCAGGATGAATTGATATTATTGCGAGCCCGAATAAATGTGTAAGCTGTACGAGGCGTTCCGACATAATGACATGAAGCCTGGCCGTTGGAATCCATCGGTAACTGTTTAGAAGTGTTCAGGCGTCTCCTCGGCACCGAACACTGGCGAGTGGCGACTTAGAAAGTGAAATGGTCTTATGTTTTGCTGGTCAAGGGTCAGGTCAGTCACCCGCGGGGTCAGGATCAGGGTATAGGGCCTTACATCTTGAGCGAGAATTGCGATTGGACCTCCGCTGCAGATAATTAAAGTGGAGTAATTGATGACAGAGTATGATGAATGATGATTGTCATTGAAATATGCCACGATCAGGGTGAAACTGGGATGTACCTGGGCGACTATGCTGTTAACTCACGACAAAAACAATGTGAACAATTAATTTATTGGTTCTCTCGCATGCATGTCAAGATGACGAACCTACTGAATCTATACCTACGATGACGTTTCCACACAGTCCTGGCCTACCGATTGACGCACAAAAGACTCACGGCTATCATCACGTGTTCGCCTATCGGTGGCATAACACTACCCACACGAATACATGGCAGGCACAAGTGTATCAATCGGTTACAATGGAACCGGAAATAGAACAAAACAGGGAATGTCTCCTCCAGACAAACAACGCCACACTACAAGGGGATAAAAAAGTTTGATTTTAGGTGCGCGGGCTTGGAAAACATGTTGCAAAAACGTTGAACCAGTTCTGAGCCCACTGGACGCATCAAAGTCGAGAACAAAACTCGTTCTCGCGCTATCAAACCTCCAAACTTTTGATGTCACTGCAAGATGTTACAGTCCCGTCGAGGCACCAATACAGGGGTTCACGTTGACTATAGCGTCACCTACATATATATCCATACACACCACAGCGCCACCTGTGACACCCAGCCCTACGTTCCTCCAACACCACGCTCGTTTCCGAAGAATGACACGCGTCTCCCACCTCCGGTCAGACCGTGGTGACAGACCCGCTCCCACCGGACCCAGCGCAGCTGACTCCTCAACCCGACGGGTTCCTTCACAGCCCTCTATGGTCGTTCGTCGCACTGAAAACCTGGGCGCCGCTCAACCTCTTCCCACACGACGACAAAATCTAAAAACAACCACAGGGAAATTCGAAAACAACGGCAGTCGCTGGCCCGTCCGGCCGTCACACCGTCCGCTTCTTGGCGATATGATTCGCGCTCGCCACGGACGTGCGCCCTGGACACGAACCACCCACGCCTCGGCTGACGCCTCGCGCGGCAGACCGCCGAGCGACTTCAGCCCGAGCAGCGGCGCGGCGGCCGCGTCACCTAGGTCACGACTAGATTCAGCTGGCCTCCGCCGCACGTGCGACCGACCGTGACGGACGTCAGTGACGACTGCGTCACGGCATCGGCCGGGAGTGACGCCTCTTTCAGTCAGCCTCTCGCTCGTGACGAGTGACCAGGGCCCCTGGCTGCACCGAGGGCTAACCAGAGAGGCCTTCACCTCGCACACCCAAACACCTTCCTCAGCGGCATCACCAATCTCGGAGGAGGCCCGGGCCACGCCCCTACCCCTTCTCCCCGGGACCATTCAGAGCCGCTGGGAGCTCCGACACCTCTGTAGGTGGCGCCACGGGTCGTCCGAGCGAGGTCCGCTGAACGGTTGACATGACTGCCGGCCGAAAGTCACTAAAACAATGCCCTACTGCTCAGGGCGGACAAATACAGACCTCCTGTGAACAAACAGACGTTGATTAGTAACGTAAAAGCAGAGGAGCGAAAGGCTCTGGCTAATGCAAACTTAGAAGCTTGGCAACAGAACCGAATTAACAGAAAACGAGCAACCCGAAAACTAAATGTCATCAGCCATTAAGTGAAGGTTATCATACGTAAATAATCACAGCTCAGCCTGTCTAGTTCTTCCCCCTTTCCAACAATAAGCTCTCCTACACCCGGAACCTCTGCCGGCAGGGTATTGCACACACCGGCCGCTGCTGCAGCTCCGGAGCTCACCGGTCGGTGGTCGGCAGCACTGGCTCCACCGGACGGTCCCAGCTCAGTAGGTGGAGTACCGCGGCACACTCGGCGGCGGCGCACCGACTGAAACGAGGTGAGCGAGACACAGGTCACACCAAGAGGTCACGAGACAAAATACTGGGGTCACGAGTTCAGAGTGTATGGGCCACAGTAACGCGGTTGTGAGCCACGGATCACAGGTGGCTCCTGCATATACTGAAGCGTTGAGAAAGGCTTCTAGTCCTACTCCATGAATCACAAACCCCTCAGCTGTTGGATGGCTGAGCTGCTGAACTCACACGCAGCCTGCTGCAGGTACGTCTGCTGCTGCTGCTGCTGCTGTTGTTGCTGCTGGAGCAGCATCGCCTGCTGGTAGGCGGCCAGGCTGGGAGTGGGTGTGTAGTACGACACGGAGCCTTTGTCGCCCGACGGCCGTTTGTAGGTGACGCCCATCGGCGGGAACTGCTGTCAACGAGAGGGGAAGAATGTTATTAGAAGACACAGACTGGAGGACACGGATAGTTTTGAGTGGTTTCGAAAAGCAGCGGCAAAAGACAAAGTAATGGCAAAAGAAATATGAACTGCATTCGAAGATGAAGCGCTCTAAAAATATTTAAGCTGAATCCTTGGCACCTGGGTCGTGTCCAATGTATTATCTTACCGGAGTACTTACATAGTACATTGAAGAATCGTAGACTGGTTCTCCCTGGAAAGAGCAAATTAGTCGTCAAAACTCCGTGAATCCATGGCCAAACACTGGCATCTATGACTGTTGGTTCCATCTATGACTTGAAACCTCCCTGACCTATTGCTGACCTCCGTGACCCCATACTGACCCCGTGACCCGATAATGACCCTTGACACGGTGCTGACCTCTGTGACCCGTTACTGACCTCTGTGACCCGTTACTGACCTCTGTGACCCGAAACTGACCTCCGTGACCCGATACAGACCCCGAGACTCGATACAGACCCCGAGACTCGATACTGACTCTGTAACTACTGACCTTCTGACTCGATACTGACCTCTGTGACCCGACACTGACCTCCGTGATCCAGAACTGACCTCCGTGACCAAGTACTGACTTCCGTGACCCAACACTGACCTTCATGACCCAGTACTGACCTCCAGCCGGTCGGTGGGCAGTTTCTGCTGCATCTGTTGCATCGGCAATGACGCCACCATGGCGGTATCGCCGACAGGAGGGCTCGCTGCTAGCGTATAGTACTGGCTCAGGCCGGCGTACATTTGACCGGCAGGTGACGCCATCTGTTGAGGAAGTAACAACTTCAGTTAGCTGCAGCTAACGCCAGGGCCGACCGCAAACAGTGAAGGGTAATTGCGAGGGCATATCTTTATGTTGAGGGTTATCAGAGCGAGGCGCTTTTATTGCAGTCGTTATCAGGTGAGTGTGGATTAAGTCCGTTAAAAATAAAATACGTGTCGCGCAATCAAGGCCTATTGCGGACGGACACAAAATAGCAGGGTGCAGGGGTCCGGCCATCGTGCCAAGGCCTGGACGCTGGTAGGCACGTTAGCAGCGATGAGCGGGCACCACACGGGCATTCGCCATTCAGAGCTCAGTGCGAAGCCCTGATGGCCAAATAATGAATGCAAGTCACGTACGTTTAGGTGCACGTGAACAGCACTTAAGTCATTTATTGCCTTCTCACCGCGGTCACACGATAAAGCCACGCTTGGCTCATATGTTTCAGTATATTGCTCCTAAAACGTACGTTTATTATGCTATGGGCATTTTTTGTCTTCACAGGCAGGGCAGCCTTCCTTATTTTCGTATGTAGAAATGTAGACGTGCAGGAAAAAGGGAAGCGAAGAGATAGCAGCACTCACACGCAATTTCTCTTCCTGTTTAACTTCTATTGAATTTATGTGCTATTGAGTGATAAAGAACCGTTTCTTTCGGAATCGGCACACAACCCTTTTTTATGTTCATGTGAAATGAATAAACGGTGACATGCTGACGCCATGTATGTATATTGTAATGAGATTGTTGACGTCAATTAACTATCATGTCTAGTTGCACTCTCAATTTATCGAGCGATAATACCCTAGCAAGGGAAGGAATCAATTCGTCCTATCAACCCGCTTAGGCCCTCATTACCATACACAGCGACCCCTGTGTCTTCCCATTGACCGGACACTATCTCTGGTGGGGCAAATGGCGCGATGCACGAACCCCGACGCATTTAAAATGCACCGTCACCAAAACACAGGGCATGCATTAGGGCAGCTCGCACAGTAAGCCGCCTTTCGTGGTATAGAGGGCTCGGCAAAGCTGGTTAAGTTCTGAACAAATGAATGACGTGTCCGGTGCCGAGTCGACCGTTGTTAGTTCGGCCGTTGCTAGGATACGAGCCCGGGGTGCATTATTCAGTGAAACATGTGAATTGCATGATACCAGGGCCGATTCAACTGTGTCTAGTGCCAACACGAGCGGAGTGGGAGCTGACGAAACACTGGCAGTTCGACCTCCCCCTAAACCGGTGCACAGAGATGAGAGAGGCGCTAATTTTGGACCTACGATAAGAAGCTCCAGCGCAGGGCTGACGACTGATCTAATCTAGAAGACTAGACTGAACTTGATATTTTGTGACTCATGTAATGACTTTTTAAACTACAGCATATGCGGATTACTCCCAAAGGATTGAAATGACAGACTATATTTATTGCTTAGCCCGCGCCCCGTTGGGCTCTGCCGAGCAACGCGCCCTGTTGGGGGGGGGGGGCAATTTGGCCCCCCCTAAGATCTCGAGAACCACGCAACCTAGCGACAAGCGGCAAACGGTGTTGGATAGCCCTATCAGGGAACTACCTTGTGACCCAATTTTATTGACCTAGGTCAAACCGATGACGTCACAGGTCAGGTCAAAGGTCGAATTTTCACCGTTTACAGGCATTTCAAGAAATGCGTTGTAAAATCGAGTAAAATGCACTTCATTGAAAATCATCGATGGGGAAATGTTCTTCAAACACTTATTTTGCTATTTGAGGTCACTGATACCAGGTCAGGTCACAGAAGTCAGGTCACTGGGGGGTCACAATATGAAAGTGTCGTGTGATACATGTTTTATGGTCCATTTTACATGGCAAATGCGATTATGTGGGTCAGACAGCCTTTGGGGCCAGCTTAGGTCACGTTTTGGTCAAGGTCAGGTCAAGGTCAGGTCAAGGTCAGGTCAAGGTCAGGTCAAATAAGGTCAAATTTCAAAGTTGATATTTTTGCATAAAATGGGTACCGATTCGATGCAACTCGTCACGGGGAGTTCAATGGTGGTCTTTGTTTTGCCCTACGTGGTCCAAAACTGGTGGATCGCTAAAAATTGAGTTCAAAAATTTGACGTCATCATTTTTGAACAGTTTTTTTCGCTATAACTTGGCCAAAAAACGAGATATCGATCTGAAATTTGGTATGTAGGTATAAGAAGAGCGCAAGGACTATCACAATTCCGTTTTTTTTCGAAATTCGGAATATTTTTGGATTTTTTTTTAGTTTTTTCTTAAAAAATCATTTTTTTTGAATTTTTGGGGGTCAAAAAACCAAAATTTTGAAAATCCGAGATAGCAGTTTTGTAGCGCCGCTTTTTGTTTACCAGACCATATATAGAACTTTGAAATTGCTTGGTAACTGTAGATTTGGTGAGCGTTTCAAGATTGCATGTTTTTTGCTCATTTTTGCTCGAACATGACCTCAGTTTGACCTCAATAACTCCTGACCTAAGGTGACCTAAGACTTGGAATTTAGTGTGAAGGTGTCAAATTGATGCCCGGGAAGGAACTGAAAATTTGGCGGCGCTTTTCTTGCTATTCATGAAAAACCACAGGGGGGGGGGGCAAATTGCCCCCCCCCCTAACGGGGCGAAGGTTAGTGCTTAGTTGTATAGCCGAATGGCCGATTGGTGTGACCTGCAATTTTAGCTCTTCTTGAAATAATCTTCTTATATAGACATAACTTCCACGGTATACTATTTCCTTTCCGGAGGACGAGACTTTCCATGAGGCATGAACAATTAACACACGCTACCATTTGTGAGTGCCTCCTTAGGGACTGTTGACGTTCATTTCACGGCATTTATCTCATGATCTGATGACTGATTTAAATATTATGTCCCCCATTTCAGGTTGTTCAAAATTAAATTATACACCGCTCGAAAATAAAGCCCAGATAAGCCATTTAAATACATCCGCTTGAATGCCAAACAACAAAAGGAACATAGATGGCACGACAAGCCCGGTTTCTACGTAAGAAAAATGTCAAAAGCGAGCCAAACAATGTAATATAGATGCTACAGTCACGCAATGAATTCCAAGACATCCAGAAACCACCTAAGTGCTTTAAAGTGTCGTTTCTCGGCACATAATGAGGCAACGTTTGCCCAAGGGAAGCCAACGGCCGTCTGATTCCTGGCTCTGGAAACCGCATAAAGCAGGCACCGACCGGGTCACCGTCGCACCACACGATACCCTTACATTCAACTTTAATTCCATTACCCCACACCCCGCCTGCGAGACTTCCATGGCCGACACACGCGCTGTAAACCACCCGCCAGCCCATTCCGATCGCGCTATAGCTGCTACGTGACGCCGGCCGGCAGGCGGCGGGGCGTGGCGAGTTTCCGCCACCCGCCGCCAGCGGCGCCACCGTCACAGGGTGGCGGGACCTGTACGTACCGGTGCTGTAGCATGGAGGGCCAGGCCGCCCGCGGCCAGCTGCTGCATGAGCGCGTTCTTGAACGCCAGGTTGTTCTTGCCGTTGATGAGCAGCTGCTCTTTGAGGTGCTGTGGCGGGTGGAAGTACTTGCAAGGCGGCTTCTCCCGGTTACATCGGCCCTGAGGAGCACAGACAAGGCCGAGGTCAGCTATGGGAACACTCAGGAGCCATTCGGCAGCTTACTGGGGTGATCGTCAGTGCGGAGCCCAGAAAACTGCCCGCGATGAGCTCACCAGCAGACCCTCGTCTCTCAGTTTCGAGCATCGTCCCTGTCAGCCTGTCTGGCCCGAGTGACACTACGTCACAAGCAGTTGGCCGAGTGGCAGACCATGTTCCTCGCACACGTATCGAGTGATCCCAGCGCCGAAACGTCACCACGCTTTCCTCCTTTGGGCGGCTGGAAGCGTGCGGGGGCGGCTTATCGATGTAAAAAATATTCAGCAGCTAGTTTCCTGCGAGAGTTCGCGGAAATCGCCCTATCTGCCAACCCAGGCGGCTGGCCAGTGCACTGAGAACGTATATAAGGAGTGTCAGGGATAAACTTTACTTCGGTGGTATTAATTTGGACTTCTGTGCACACCCGTGCGGATGTATTCGCTCCAGTCTCGTTTACTGCTTTTCCAAGTCGGTACTGTTGCGCTGGTATAAATCTGCATGCTGGGCCTGTGAAGTGCCCTAAGATAGGTGGCTGAAATGAGGCCTCCGCTGCTCTTCCGACAGGGAAGCGGTTGTACAGACCCGACAGACGGTCAAGGAGGTATAGAAAGGGTGGATGAAGAGGATTAACCGAGTAGAAAGAATCCGCCGATAAGGAGAAACGAAACATTTGCTGTGTAAGGGAACGAGTAAACGACCTGTATTGTGTAATAATGTGTATACTTTGCTAATTGGTGTCCATTTTAATCAATATTAGCGATACCATTGTTCGTCACAAACCATTAAGATAAAAAAGACATGCCATACAGGCTACTGCTACCACTTCCCAACTGAAGAAGAAGTGTCAAAGGATAAAAGACACTCATTGCATGGCCATGGTCCCTCATTTTGGCATGCTGTTATTCCGCCATGGATATTGTGTGATCCCATCAAGAGGATGTAGGGAGCTGCACGGCATAAATACTGTTGCTAATGTCCGCAACAGATGTTGACTGAGTAAATGCAAGAAACAATACTGAACAAATATAGCTGCCAAGTCCCGGTAAGATTGGCGAATGAGAAAAGAATGAATAATGCGAGGACAATGCTTTGGATCGTTAACAGAAATAGATAATAAGAATATGTTATATGCGGTGCAAAATATGGAATAAATGTTGATAAAATAGAACTATAGCAGGAACCTCTTATCATCGGCGGATCGGTTTCAAAATAAGCGAAAAACGTTTACATATTCGTAATCAATAAGGACTGAGGAGCGCAAAAAACGGAGCTGCGGAACACATCGTCACTGCACTAAGACGCATTACACTGCAGGATCTTGAACTTCGTCAAAAGTGATGGAGCTACTTGCATGATCCCAAACTAATCCAGTTCGAAGGACTATCATGACATTTTACAAGACGCCACACGAGTTGTCAGAAGGCATGAAACCACCAAACGAGTACGAAGTCAATAACACGCGATCATCCGCATGGTGGAAATTTTCATGCATGCAAATTATGTTAGCTGTATTATGATACAGGCCACTACAATGGCCAGCTGTGGGAATTCTGCGGCTGTTCTAGCACCTCAAACCGTCCCGCTGTATGTGCTAGAGCGCAGTTTGGGGCATGATCCATCCTCTTTCCTACGGCGGCCGCCGCCGCTGCTGTGCCGACCAAGGCCAACAAGGTTTGCAGAACGACCCGCGCCGCGCAGGAAACCTTCGCAGGGGCCCGGCCCGCGGCGGTGCAGCCCCCCCCCCCCCCCTCCACACTGGTGGTGCAGAGGGGAGGTGGGGTACACACCACACAAGATAGAGAGTGCGGGGGTTTGTATATCAACATCGCTCCTATCGCAAGAGTCGCGTTAGGAAAATACAGGCACGTGAGCACGGGCAAAGGCGTTTGTTCATAACTTCACTCCATTAGAACTTCACACCATATTATATAAAGGTAAACGTAATCTATGTAAGCTGGGGTGCAGAGCTAGACGTAAGTACTAAGTAAGGTTCTAAAACAGACAACAACAAAAAGCCACACAGAAACGACGAACCTCGACTATTGTCAATGCTATTTCTATGCAACCACCACCACTGTCCATTATCCGTTGATCATAAAGCTCTTACAAGTCACAACCAGTCTGCTAGTGTCTCGAGACTCAAACTTATCTCATCAAAAATATCGATACAAATATAACGTGCCGTTTCACGGGCGAAATAAACTCGTTCGCTGTTTCAAGCTATGCGGTGCAGTATATCTTCAGGCGCCACCACTAGTGCCATCTAGGGGGGAGGAATATTAAACAGCCGCAGCCAAAGCGCCACCCACAGCGATTCGGTACGATCCATCCAGTTATTTGTAATTTGTTATCTACATATAACATAAAGTTCTCGTATTAGATGTCCATGTTCATTTCGATTTTTGCTATATCGCCCGAAAGTCCCAGTCCCAGTATTGCCACCACGTTTACGTGATAACGAAAAACGTAGGTACTAGGTAGGTACAGTCGACATGCGATACCTTGAGCAATATAAGCGCGCTCCTGTTTATAGTCCATATCGCCCAGTAGCAGCGGTATAAATGACATGCAAATTTAATTGAAATATTTATCACGTACCCATTTTAAATATAAAAGTAATATGCGAAACTATGCAGAGGTCGCCAACCTTTCATCCGCAAAACAAAACTGGGACAGCATTCTTCAGCCACGAAAAATCGTCACTGGTTCTCACCGTAGAAAACACAAGTTCCGCATACATATGACTTTAGTGGTTTAGTGCACAGCGGAATGAGACGGCCGATGTCGCTAAACTGGAGCAACCAGTTACTTTTCTTCGAGCACGTGAATCGCCCGTCGGTGTGCTGCATGACTGAGACACTTAGCACGCCTGCCCGAACCCACAATCGGCATCTATCTTTACGTTCCGTAAAGCGCTATAAGCGCAGCGACAACTTAAGAATTACATGCACCGCTAGTGAAACAAACAAGTCCCTTAGCATAGCGTTTGTGACTCCTCACATACCTACTTAGGTATATGCATAGCGCACGCAATGTACACTAGTGGTGTCACGCTAAAATTACTAACCAAAAAGTGAAAACTAAATCAGCAGAAGAACCACTAACTGAAACTGGGATGGTATTAATATCTTAAATGTGGTCTGTGGCATTTGTTTAATGCCAAATGTCATGGCGACCATCTGTTTCTCTGTTTAATCAATGTATATCGCGCATTAATTTCGCTCGGCGACAGACAGCTGAGTCGGACAGCTCCCGGAAAGCAGTCGTATTTTTGCCGTGCCGGTTGTCCTCCGGCCCGGTGCAGCCGTTTTGTAGCTGCATTCCACGGGCACTGTTTGAGTTCCCGAGAGCTACCGGTGGTAAAATAAACACTGGCCAGAAGGAAGCGTCGCCGTGCCAGCCACCAAATGCACACGCCATCAACATGCTCGCCGTTAGTGCATGGCGGAAAGGTGAACCGCAAATCATCTGCTGTAGAACAAGACATTGCGACACGCACCTGAGCTGTGGTTAACCAGGAATAACGTTTCTCGAAAATTGGGATGGGCGAGACAAAATATAGATAAAATTAATTTAATGACAAAAAAGATAAATGTGTATTTTTAACAATTAATCAACATCATTACCGATGCGTCAGATGGACAGGGCATTTCCCTGAATACCAGATATTATTCAGTGCACTCGCAAGCCTTTCAGTCAACATCTGTCACCAGACATGCATGATGATGCACCAGCAAATCCCCTTGCTTCGATACTTCGATACTTCGATCTGTTTTGAACAAATGAACATTGAACACTGCTCTTCGGAGATTCAGTCATATCAGCCCGCATTTCAAAGCTGAATGTTGCCGGAAAGCTTCAGGTCGGCATCCCCCAGCCCGCCCCCCCCCTCCCCAACTGGGCCTATAGGGTATCCGGTAGCGCCGGCTCGTGTGTGCTCTGACACCGTGCTCCGCTACCCCCCCCCCCCCCCACCTCGGGACGAGACAGGGGGTAAAGGACGACCCGCAGGGTCAATGCTGTGCTAGACACTCCAGCCCAGTGCCGGCACACATCCATTGTCGGTCGTCTGGCACGTCTGGAAATCCAGCTGACGTTCGACTAATCTACGAGCGTCGGAAGAGGAACAGACCCAACCAAAGACCACTGACCGCAGGCCAGGCCCAGGAGAGTCCAACCACGACCGTGCAGAGTGCAGAGTGCAGCTGGGAAGCGAGGGGCCGGGGAGGGGGCAGAGAGGCTCGCTTCGTCTCACTTCCTGGGCACGTGCACGCCTTATCATCCATGCCAGGAGTGCAGAGTTGGCGTCTGTTTGGCGTCAGTTCATGCAGCTGCTCTGCATTGACGGCAGATCGAGCCGTTGCCAGAGCTCTGATACCCGCCGTTACCTGTGCCAGCGCTGGCCGAGACTGAGAGAGCGGTCGATCACAGCCCACCGGCGGAAATTCGGCCCAGGCACGCGTCGCCGACATCTGAGAGTGGTGACATCACGAGCCGCTCGGACCGGCCGCTCGGCTGGCGGCCGCGGCTGCAGGACCGGCCGCCGGCCGTCCACTCCGATACGGCCACATACCGCGCGGATTTTTAGTCAAACGCCAGGAGGAAACTCGAAAAGCCGCGAGACCGGTTCCGCCGACCCACTCTCTGCGAGCAATCCACGCGAATACGGCCACCTGTGCGTTCGGTAACTTCCCAGCACAAAATAAGCACCGATTTACACGCCCGCCACTCTACCATCTCGACAAAAAACACACACGATCTCCGACCGTACAATAACCGAGCACACGCCATCAGTATCGCTGGTCCACGTGCCTGATCGACAGGTCACGAGCCGCCAGGTGTTCCGTGGCATGATGAATCCGGCCCGGGGCGACGGCCGCGGCGGCACCGGCACGGCGGCACAGACGGCCGGCGGCCACGGCCACGGCCGAGACGATTGCGCAGGACGACAGAGCGTGATTCG